CATGAGCTTCTCAAATTTCTTTTTAAATTTAGAGACCAACGCTGTGTTGTAGCAAGCCAAGCTTCAGCCTTTGGTGTCGGTATACCCTAAGGGAGTTGGTTCATGTCCCAGCTGCTCCTTTTCGGATCTAGCTCCCTAGTTACGGACTGGGAAAGCAGTGGGGGACAGCACAAAGCCTTTGGACCCTGCACCTGTGTAGGAGACACACAGCACGCTCCTGGCTCCCGGCTTCAGACAGGTTCAGCTGCGGCTGTTACAGGCCTCTGGGGAATGAAGCAGATGAAGATCTTCCTTTCTGTTGCTCCTCTTCCTTTCAAATAAAAATAAATAAACCCTTACATTTTTTTTAACTTTAAATTTTTGGTAGGCTCATGTATGTATTTATTCTGTCTGCTAGTTCACTTCCCAGGCAGCTGCAATAGCCAGTCCAGGGCCAGGATGAAATCAGGTGCTTCGGGGCCCAGGCACTTGGTTAATCTGCTGGTGCTTTTTTCAGGTCAGGTGTAGGGAGCTGTAGCAGCTGGGACACAAACTGACATCCATGAGGGATGCTGGTGTCACAGCTGGTGGCATTGCCTGCTATGCCATAACACTGGCCTTTAAAATTCTGTTTTGATGTCCACTTCCTTTATGATGTGCAGTAGAACACAAAAGATTGCAGATCCAGCTGGACACGGCCACACAGCACCATCCTCACTCTCCACAAAGAACGCGTGGTTAGCAAGTGTACATCAAGTAATACCATTCATTTTTCAGCTTCAAGAGGGTAGCCAATCTGAAATGTACATTTGAAAACAATTCTACCCTCAGAATTATTGATGGATAACAGCTAAATTCTGAATCTGAAATAATTAGAAGCAATAATGCCCACTTGGTCCTAAGTCATCACTGCAACAAGGAATTCACTGAGTTCTGGAATTGGCTTTCTCATTAGGCACTGCTTCCCAGTGATTAAGACAACATGATGGCTGGGGGAAGTCCTTCCACGTGACCACACATTCGGGATTTAGGAAGGGCTGGCTGGGATAATCAGGCAGGTGAACATAGAACAGAAGGTTTTCTGAATCTGTAATAAGGACAGGGTTGGGCTTGCTCCTGATGTGGGCATGTGCCAGACTCACACAGAAATGCAGAAGAAACGCCAAGGAGCCAGGCTGGCAAGAGCAGAGAGCAGAGTCTCTACAAACCAACAGATTAGAGCTTCAGAGTTTCAGGGGATCAAACACGGAAAAACCATCTTTATTTAGACTTTCAGCAACCTCTAGAAAGAGTTAAAGTATCCTAAAAATGACCTATCCCAGACGAATGCATAAAACACTAGGCCAAAATCACACACTGCTGTTGGTAAATCAAATTTAAGTTTGGTACTGCTACCAACAATGTTTAACTCTGTTATGTTAGAGACAAATTTCTTGCAAATACTGCAAAGTTTGTGCAAAGGAGAACAAAATCTAATCTATAACAGTATATTCCTATAAGCCAAAATAAAAATTGTTCCAATTAAGTACAGCAGTTATAAAAATCTGCAGCAGTACATGAATTAAAATTGCCCTTTATCGTTGTTGAGGATAAAATGAGCAGGGGCCAATTCTCTGGAAACTGCGCATGCACCATAGTTCTATTTCTTGTACATCTGGAACCAAGGATTTTAGTAGCATATAACGTTTCTCCAACATTTAAAGTCAAATAAAATCACAAATCAAAAGCTTATCATGACACTAAAACTAAACCCACACTGCGTGGGCTTCCGTTTGAGCCATGATTAGTGCCTTCACACCAAGCTATGGGTTGGTAACCTTGTGTTGAGTCATGGTTTCCTGCAGTTGGGCACGTTTTCTATGCAAGTACCATTACTTTTTTTTTTTTTTTTTAAATTTAAACAAAGGCCTGGGTGTGTTGCGGTGATGACCCCTGAGATGTGAGCCTCTCACATGGGTACCAGTTCATGTTCCAGCTGCTCCACTTCCTATACAGCTTCCTGCTCCTGGTCTGGAAAAAGCAGCGGAAGATGGTCCAAGTCCTTGAGCCCCTATGCCCATGTAGGAGACCCAGACAAAACCCCTTGTCCCTAGCTTCAGCCTGGCCTATCCCTGGTCATCGTGGCTATCTGTGGGGAGAGAGAGGAGGGAAGATGAGAAGGAGACGGGGGAAGAGGGGAAAGTCTTCCAAACTGGTTCACTTCCCAGATGGCCAGAGGTGGGCCATTTCAAGTGAATGCAGGGGCCCAAGCACTTGTTTTATACACATCGTGGTGCTTTCCTAGGCCATTAGCAGGGATCTGGGTGGGAAGCTGAGCAGCCAGAACTCACACCAGAGTCCACATGGAATACTGGTATTGCCCCTGTGCTTGGTTTTACAGAGGCCAATGGAATTTGGCTGTGCCTTCTGCAGGTAATTTAACAGGAAAATAAGATTTAGTGAAGAAAGCACTATGGCTACTAAAACGACCGCTCACAGAGCGATCTGCTCTGTGGTGGGAGAGAAGTGTCACGGTTGGCCAGGTTGCCCAGCAGCCCCAGGCAACGCTTGGCAGAAACTGTGCTTCAATTTTCCCAAACTACAGGGGTAGGCCTGATGTCAAACAATGTCTGGACTGTGACATCCAACACTGATAAAATGGCAAGGTATGCTCCTCAAAGCTCCAAAGAGTCAAATGATGGACAAGGTCCTTCATTTGCTTCCACTATTCTCAATTATTATTATTATTATTATTTTGCAATTTGTAACCAACGAGTATTAAAAGCTAAAGCTACTGCCACAAGAAATGCGAGTTACTAGTCCACAGGAATAGAACACATGCTCTGGGACACCGCATGTTCTCAGCAAACAGGGCAATGTGAGAGCTTAGCTCTTTGGTCTGAAATGCTCTCAGTGCTTAATTTAGAATAAAGAAATGCAATAACAAGACTATTTAATGTCCATTCAATATATGAAAACTACTGTTAACCACCTCAATTTCATGAAACAAGGAGAACTTGTAACTTTTTAATCACCAAGTATTATAGAAGAGAACTTTGAAAACAGATCAAAAAAGCAAAGGAGAAAGTGAAATTGTACTAAGTTGGGAGTTAGAGAAAAAGTTAAGACCATAGCATGATTCAACTGTAAAGAACTTATAAACTTTTGTGTGTAAATATGAAGTATTTCAATTAAGCTGCTCAGCAGTTTTCATTAAGGGACTGGTTTCTGGTCTAACCTTGGGACGCTGAACAGAGAGGGGTTTGGAAGGAACGAGGAGTGGGGGCGAGTGTGTGTGCTCCACTTTCACACTGTTGACCTTGGCTTTGAGCCTGACTCCAAAGCTGATTGATCAACGAAATGTTTGTTTTCAAGCAATATATCTGTTTGATTAATGAGGTGTAACTTTACTTAGAATAAAATGAATCAATCTGATGAACAAGTTCAAGTGTAGGAACTATAAAGCCCTGCTTGTAACTCCGAAACATGAGGCCAAGCTCAGTGCGCTGAGCACCTGGGCCGGCAGGGCCACGTGGCCTCTTGGCATCTGATTTTCAAGTATCATCCCGTGTGAGAAGGTGTTGCTCTTGACTCTGTGGCAGCTTTTCAAGAAGGTAGCAAAATATAACATGGTATGAATTTGAGAAAAGAACATCCACATCCTGGAACGGAACACCTCACTGCACTCCTCTCCTCGATTCCTATTGATCTCCACTTCTCTCACTCCCCGCCCCGTCTCCCATTTCTCCTTCCTTCTTTCTTCTTATACTTGGACCCACAGCAGCTGGTATAAAAATGACTATATTCCTAAAATCATTGTAACGCATATTCTGTGCTGGCTTCTGGGATGATTCAAATTCAACTAAGCACAATGTGGAAACAGCAAGAACTTCAGTAGAAGGCAGGGATCTCGGATAAAATGAAAGCATGCCTACTTCCACTCACTGGTTCACTCTTCAAGTGCCCACAACAGCTGGGGAGGCACCTGGGCCACAGCTAGGAGTCAGAACTCAACACATGGTTCTGACCTGGGTGGCAGTACCCATCACCTGCACATCACCACCACTTCTAGGGGCTGCGCTGACGGCAAGCTGCAGTCTGGACTTGAACTCATGCATTTCGACGTGGGACGCAGGCATCTCAACCACTAGGCTGAAACAGAAACTCAGGATTTCTCCATGGCCGAAGGGGACACTGTTAGCTGACCAGGGAGCCTGTACATACTACGGTACACAGGATATCCACAGGTGAATATGGGGAATGCAGCAGGGTGGTGCTGCTCTGGGCAGGAGAAAAGAGAGAAAACAGAAAAGACGACATACTAGAGAAGGCGGAAGTCATGAAAGGACTGTTACAGGAGCCGGCACGGTGACGCAGAGGCCAAGAGGAAGCCTGGGGTGCCACTCTCCCAGGAGCGCTCCACTTCCAATCCAGCTCCCGCTAAGGTGCCTGAGGCCTGCCACCAACATGGGTTACAGGGTTGAGTTCTAGGTCCTGGGCTCAGCCAAGCCCACTCTGTCCTTTGAGGAATGACCTTGGTGGATAGGAGGCCTCCCCACATCCCTCAACTCTGCCATTTAACTAAACAAACAAACCTACAAAGCAAAGAAACTGTCATGGAACCAACAGCATCTAGGTGCCTCCAAGAACCACTCTACAGTTTTTATTCCATCTGCTCAAAATGTCTATCTTCTTCAGCCAAATTACCAATCTGGCAAATATATTTTATGCACTGGCCACTTATAAAAGAAATAGTAATGGTACTAGTCCTTGAAGTATGTAAAAACCAACCTAACAGAGGAAGCAGCTCAGGAAGCAGCACAAACACAGTTCTTGCCAAACTGTGTGAGTGTGTGCGCGTGCCTTACTTAATTTCACATACATGAGCACACGCGCGCGCGCACACACACACGCACTCACACAAACACGTACTCACATGTACACTACGAATTGGGAAAAGCTATCAGGATGACACTAGGATCCACAGCCCACGCACTGTAAACACAGATGATGCTTTCCAGCAGAGCCCTGCCCCCACACACCTGCTTCAGGGTCCTGGTTGAATCGGCAGTACTTGGCGCGGTCCAGGGAAGGCAGGCACTGCTCTATGGGCACCCAGACGTACGTCTCCGGACACAGCAAGTCAGAAGGTCTGTACTGACCCTGCAGAGAAGGGAAAACAACAGACAGAGGCATGACGAATGTAACATGGAAACTCCCAGAGAGACAGGCTTCAGGGAAGTCTTGAATGGCATGTGCAAGCCAAGCGGTCCGGGCACAGCGTCCCCAAGGGCATGAGGCAGCCTGGCCAGGGATCATTCGCCATCATCCCCCAAGGCTGAGTGCAGGCCCGGTCCTGGCAGAAACGGGTGGAGGATGAGGCCGCCTGTGTGCAGGCCGCAGCTCCAAGCAGTCACTCTCTCTGAAGAAATACTTAAGGTGGCTCTTGCTGAGCAGATTGCAAAAATTAGCCAGTTTCAAATTCAAGTTGCTTTTGTAAATGCTAGTGAATAACAGACTGAAATTGTTTTTCATAAAATTGAATTTTACTAATGTTAATCATAACTTTTAAAATGTACTCCAATATTTATTTCAGTCTAATATACTAAAAGCATTCTTATTAATATACTTAAAATATGAAATTTTGACAAATATACAATAAAGAGAAATTTTAGAAACAGAAAAAAACTTCAGAAACTAATTGTTTAAACTTTCTTTTAAAACTGCTTTAGAAAAATGGCCTCTATTTTGTATTTCTGAAGCCATTGTACACCTAAATTTGAAACAATGGTATGCAACAGTAGGAATGGTGGCTCAATGGATAATTCCCCACCTCCAAGTACCACCATCCCAGAGGTATGCTGGTTCGTGTCCTGGCTGTTCCACTTCTGACCCAGCTCCTGCTTGTGGCCTGAGAACGCACCGGATGATGGCTCAAAGCCTTGGGACCCTGCACCTGCATGGAGACCTGAAGGAGGCGGCTTGGCTTAGTGTTGGTGGTTGGGGCCATTTGGGGAAAGAATCAGTGGGTGGCCATGACAGGATTATTTAATAAAAAGTCTATGATTTACTTAGGAAGTAAATAAAGGCAGATACTCCAGGGCTATCTGCCTTCTCACCAGCAAGACCACGGGGCCAAAACAGTGTCGAATCATAGTAAGCCTCCACCCACAGCAAGAGCATCCCGATGAGTCTCAGCTGCTCCCCTTCCTACCCTGCTCCCTGCTATGTCCTGGGAAAGCAGAGGAGACTGGCTCAAGCCCTTGGATCCCTGAACCCATGTGGGAGACCTGGAAGAAGCTCCCGGCCTCTGGTCCGGTTCAGCTTAGCTCTGGCCACTGGAGCCATTTGGGGACGAATAGATGAATTTCTGTCTCCCTTTCTCTCGCTGTATCGCTGCCTTTGCAATAAAAATAAATAAATCTTAAAAAAAAAAAAAGCAATGTCCTTATCTTCATTAATAGAGAATTTGTTTTTCGGGGGAAAGGGACCACAAATAACACTATATATATTATTAACAAATATGAAAAACCATACAGCAGCCTACATAGACCATTGTGAAAATCTGCATTTAAAGATATAATTTCGAAGGCTAAACAAATAGAATTTCCAAGAAGCACTAATTCTTCTTGACTTAGAAATATTCAAAGATTTTTTTTTTTTGGTACATAAAAAGCACCAACCATAAAAAAAAAAAAGATGACATTAAGTTCATTCAAATTACAGCATTCAAAACAAATTAATAAAGTTAAATAGGCAAGTCAAAGGTAGGGAGAGAATATTTATAATTACTACAGAGACTTGTATCCAAATATATAAAGAATCTTTTTTTTTTTTTTAAAGATTTATTTTTATTATTTTGTTATTGGAAAGGCAGATATACAGAGAGGAGAGACAGAGAGGAAGATCTTCCATCCGATGATTCACTCCCCAAGTGAGCGCAACGGGTCGATACTACGCCAATCCGAAGCCAGGAGCCTCTTCCGGGTCTCCCACGCGGGTGCAGGTTCCCAAAGCTTTGGGCCGTCCTCGACTGCTTTCCCAGGCCACAAGCAGGGAGCTGGAAGGGAAGCGGGGCTGCCGGGATTAGAACTGGCACCCATATGGGATCCCGGGCGTGCAAGGCGAGGACCTTTAACCACTTGCGCCACCGCGCCGGGCCATATATAAAGAATCTTAACAACACAAACAACCCATTTTAAAAACCAGATAAATGTCTTAGACACATTGTCTTAGTAATACAAATGCCTAGTAAGCATATCAAAAGATGTCTAACACCATCAGTTACCAGAAATGCAAATGAAAACCATAACTAGCAACCACTGTATATCCACTACAATGGCCAGAATTTTAAAATGGTGAAGAAAAGCAAGTCTGGCAAGGATTTGTACTAATTTAAATACTGTTGTTTTTTTTATATTAATTTTTATTGCAAAAGCAGATATACAGAGGAGACAGAAGGATCTTACATCTGCTGGTGCACTATCCGAATAGCCACAAGAGCCAGGAGCTTCTTTCAGATCTCCCATGTGGGTGCAGGGTCCTAGGCTTTGGGTCACCCTTCGCTGCTTTCCCAAGCCATAAGCAGGGAGTTGAAGGGAAGTGGAGCAGACGGACAGGACCCAGAACCCAAATGGGATGCTGGTGCTGGAAGGTGGAAGATGAGCCAACTGAGTCATAGCACCAGCCCCAATACTGTTGGTTTAAAATGGTATAATAACTTGATAAAATATAAATACTCTTATACATCTGTCATCTGAGAACATATCCAACATAAATTTTTTGAATTGGCAATGGTGGCTAAGAGGATTTTAACTTCTCTAATGTCAAACATACAAGTTGCACCATTTTACATTTCATTAGCAAAGCATTACCTGCCCAAGTATTAATTTTCCTTCATTTTTACAAGACAGTTAAGTGTATGCCAATATGAAAAAAAGGCATGTTGTGGTTTTAATTTGCATCACGTATATTTTCCACACATGTGGAAAGGAATATCTTTTCTCACATATGTGGAAAGGAATGAATATTTTCTTTTCCATATTTTTCATAGACTTTGGTCCACTTTTGTTAGCCTGCTAATATTTCTTTATTTACTGAAGGAACTCTTTATATATCAAGGAGATTAACCCTTAGTTTATAAAATATACTGCGCTTTCCTGGTTGTCTTCTGACTTTGAATACCAAATGCATTTGCAATGTGGAAATTATGGACAAATTCATAAAGTTTTAGAATGGCATATGAATTTTGTGAGATAATTAAAAAGGCCGCCCTCACACTAAGATTATAAAAACACTTTCATGTCTTTTCTAATACTTTTATGGCTTCATAATCTCACATTTACATTTATGCTCCATCTGGAATTTATTTTGGAATAGGGAATAATGACCCAACCTAATTTCTTTCAGATGTTTATCCAGGCGCCTTAGCATCACTTGGTGAGCAATCCTCATTTCACTTACTGATTTAAAGCGCCCCTTTACAGCTTTCTAACTCACAGCGTACACTGCCACCTGGACTCTCTGCTTTTCTGCGAATACTGACCTGTCTGTAGACTCATCTGTCAGTGCCACACAGTTTGAACTACTAAAGCTTTACACAATATTTTTGTAATCTGGTATATCTAGTCTCTCTTCAACGTTCATTTCCAGAATTTTCTGACCCTTTTTGCCTCGTTATTCTAAGACTTGGTATCAGTGCAAAATACTCCCACCATAAGAAAACAGTAACAAAGCCAGAATGGCACATCTTGATTACCATGATGGCAGACTACACAGGAGAATCCTAAAACTGTCTAGTAAATAAGAATGGAATGTTGCAGGCAAAGTTTGGGTGCTGGTTCGTGCCCCAGCTGCTCCACTTCCAATCCAGCTCCCCGTTAATGACCTGGGAAAAGAGTGGAAAATGGCCCAAGTGTTGGGCTCCTGCACACAAGTGAGACCAGGATGAAGCTCTTGGCTCCTCACTTTGTGCTGGTCCAGCCCTGACCACTGCAGTGGATTATAGATTTCTGTGCTGCTCCTCTTTCTACGTTTCCCAAATGAATCAATAAATCTTTTTATTTTTAAGAGTCTCATGCTCTACCGACTGAGCTAGTTGGGCACCTATTTTCAATAGCCCCATTATATAACTTCACGTTGTCTGGCTAACATTCAAAGGTCAAAGACTGCGGGAAGAAGGATCAGGCCACAACCTAAGAAAACTCCAGGCTAAGACACACCCAGCTTTCTTTACGAACACTTTCCACACAGACAGGCTTTCACCAACAGCCACCTCAACAACGATGAGAGTGAACACCCAATGAATGCCTACTGTGTCACAGACACTAGCACATGGGAACAAAAAGATGAAGAAACATGCCTCAAAGAAAAGAAAAGTCACAATGCACTGGGTCTGGCAGTTGTACAGAAAGTAGACATAAAAACCTACTGAGGTAGAAGTCACTGAGTACTTTAACTCCTGAAATGCTCAGCTTAGCTCACTGACCATCCATGTACAGGTTCCAATTTTGGTTCCTCTGAAATTAGATTTTTAGCTTAGATCACCATTCTTCTCTTAAGTCTAAGTTTTTCTTTCCTTTTTAAAGATTTATTTTATTTTCATTGGAAAGGCAGATTTATAGAGAGAAGGAGAAACAGAAAGATCTTCCCTCCGCTGGTTCACTTCCCAAATGACTGCAATGGTCACAGCTGAACTGATCTGAAGCCAGGAGCCAGGAACCTCTTCCAGATCTCCCATGCAGGTGCAGAGTCCCAAGGCTTTTGGCTTTCTTCTGCTGCTTTCCCAGGCCATAAGCAGGGAGCTGGAAGGGAAGTGGGGCAGCTGGGACAGGATCTGGTGCCCATAAGGGATCCCGGCGCATGCAAGGCAAGGACTCAGTCACTAGGATATTGTGCCAGGCCCAAGTATAAGTTAATTTAGTGCTTCAACTATTTTCCCAAGTCATCAAAGACTGCAGAGTTTTATGAAATAAACTACTCTGAAATGTTGTACTTTCTCAAATAAATGTCTTGAGGGTTAAGAGAACTCAGTGCTTAAGCCTGACTTAAAGTTCCATCAATACAAATGAAAATGCAGGGGTTTCAAAGCTGCCCTGTCTTTCAGCTCCTGTAAGAAAATAATAAATAATTGTATTAAGAATGTAATTACTTAAGGATTTGGG